TATATATATATATATATATATATATATATATATATATCTCCACCCATCTCACAAAACAAACGATTCAAGGTGGCATGCAACAATTTTTACTGCTGAGGCTAAAATACATATTATTTTCTTTTTAAAAAACCATTATCAGTCAACTCGGTGGCACAATGAAAAAGTTAAAATACTTTCTGTCATCCACACATGCAACCTTGCATTCACAACTGTACTTGTAGTTGATAAGCTGAGGACAGGAAAAATCTGGAATAAATCATATAGGGTTTCTTCAATCAGAGAAAGTATCTCAAAAGAGGTGGGATAGAGATGGGAAGAAAAAATGCCTAGTAAAGAAAATAGCACTGTACATCTGCTAAAAAAATCTGCTAAAGAAATGAAAATTCCTGGATGTTTCAGATTCACTGAAGACAAATCAGGATTGAGATCACTATACTGTGACAGAACAGTAAGATGTAAAATTGCAATGCTGAGCACAGATGCTGATAGAAGGAAGTGAGTCCAAAAAACCCAGAAGTCAGAAGTTCTGTTAGCGATGAGAAGTTATCAGCTAGATTTTAAGTGAAGCTCTTGATTAACTCTTCTGCAAATTTTGTAATAATGTTATATTAAGCAATGGCTTCAGACAGCACACTGACAAAGCAGCAAAAGCACTGCTATTGCAGGCAGACAGGCAGGCAGGCAATTGATTTTTGATTGGTAAAGCAATTAGACCATAAATCAATTTGCCACATTCTACTCTTTTCATAAGTTAGAAGATGGTGGGAGGGCAAGTGATTGATTAGTACTGCATGGCCGAAAGAGAAGCTAAACCTTTTCCATTTTAGAAATGTTACAAATAAATAAAGTAAATAAATGTATTGGATTGTTTGCTCTGTTTTGTCAGTTTGATCTTAACAAACCTGCTCACAATCTCACTTATCTTGTTTTAGAAAGATCACACATAATACTATGAAGCTATGAAGAATTGGAAGTTTGAATAAGGAAAAGAAAGTAGTATAGCAATTCATCTGGAAGTGTGGGTGCTTTTTTAATGACTCATTCAGCAAGCAAACTGACTGATCAAGTTCCTATTACAATATCAGGGATAGTGGTAATGAAATGACAAGTAGATCAAGCATACTATCAGTGCACATAGATAATTAACATGTTTTATTATTTGTCTCTTCATTTGAGCAGCTAAACAAATATACAAAAACAACAGCATTCAAACAAGGTATGGTCCTAGGCCAGTTTAAAGTATTATTATTCCTAATCTATTTTTCTAATTTCCTTTTCAGAAAATCAGAAGTAATCTGTGTTAGAAAACTGTTCATTCATCTGTGATTTACTATATTAGGATTTCTGGTTTCATATATAGTAAAATATGACCAAGGTGCAGCAAGTCCCTATGGGTTTCTATAACCAACAGAGAGAGCCAAAACAACCTTTGATCAGGATGACAGAATATTTAATAAGTTTTATCAGCCATTCCTCATATAAAATATATCTAGAATATGTAAATAGTGTAAATTTATTTAATGGATCCTAGCTTCTATTCACATGATGCAGAATGTCTTCAGGAGGGGAATCTGCCTACTATAGCTGAAGACAATGTTGGATGCAACTTGGTCATGTATTGGTAGGACTTCAAGTACTCATACATGCTGCAAGTAAAATATGACCAACACACAAAATCAATGTGTTTATTTGTATATTTAATAATTAATACTTATTTTAAAGCAGAATGAAAGAGGTTTTTTTTAAAAAACATATTTCTTTGCACAATGATTTAAAAATAGTGCACCTGTTTCATTTTAATTTCTTTTAGGATATATTTCAGGCCTCTACATATATTTTTTAAAATTCATTCACAACAGGAAACTTTAGAGATATCCAGTTCTCTTAAGCTATCCTTCACTCTTATGGTGGTGTAATATGAAGATGTCCAGTTTGGGAAAGAAATTTTAAGATTTCATCAAATCTTTTAGCTAAAAAAATAAAATTTCTGACTCTTCCTTTGGAGAGTTAATAGTTATAGTTAATAAAATTTAATAAATATAGTTAATAAAATTAACCATGAAGAATTCAGTTTCCACAATAACCAAATTGATTCTATGCAGTATCAGCAATATATAGTTGAAACCTTATTGTACATTAGTTGAAATGGAGGAAATACAGAACATATACATTTTCTTCAACGAAGAAAATAATTCTCAACTTTTTCCTCAGGTAATTCCTACATCATGTTACCTGTAGGAACAACAGAATATGATGGCATCTATAAGATACCAAAATAACTCAGTACTTTTACTGTGAAGCAGTATGTAAGTCTAAACGTTATTGCTATTGTGAGATATTACAACATTTTTGTTCTGATATGTACAGAATAACCCTTGAGTAACAAGGATATGCACATGGAAACGTTAATGAGAGTAGTTATGAATAATTATTCAGCCACACACAGCTACACTAAATTGAGTTAAAGTTTACTTTAAGAAAGTGCACAGTCCAATGAACGGTCCAGGTCATATACGTTTAACAGTCCAAAGAATATCCAATTACACAATGAACGGTCCAGGTCATATACGTTTAACAGTCCAAAGAATATCCAATTACAAAATCTTCTTACCGGTTGCCTTTGTCATTTACAGTAAACAAAGATATCGAAGTATAAGCACAGCAGAGAACTTTAGATAGCAATAGAATGTCAGAGATACAGAATGTCAGAGATACAGAATGTCAGAGACAGAGCATGTCAGAGAGAGCAAGCCATGATCTCTAGTTCCCTCTTCACAATACAATCAACAAATCGGAACATAGTACAAATCAATACAGTAACTTTGTCTTAAAGCTACAAACATACATTGTTGGTTTGTATATTGCCAACCCAACTAATTGGTGGACAGATTCCTAACAATTTTTGCCTAAAATCTTATATAATTTGGAAAGATAATGTCAAGTTTCACAACAGTTAGTAATGATAACTTGATGTTTTGGAATCTCCATTCTCAGTATCATTGTTATTCCCTCATCATGTGCACCAAGTATCACCTACAGTACATTCAAATACTAACCTAAAAATAAATGTATAGAACCCTGAAAATAATTGTAGTTAATGGAAAAACTTCCTTGGTAATTGCTCTTAAATGACTATTTTTTTAAATGAAGTTAACAGCTAAGGAATAGCTGTGAACATTTGGTAAATGATTCAGAAAGTTGAGTTTGAAAATTAAGATATCCACTTATTTTTTACTCCCATCTAAGAAGGGCTAATACTGTTTAAGACTCAGACAGCCTAATGATTCATTGGGAAATATTTTATTTTATTTCTTTATTTGTATCCTGTCTTTATTATTTTTACAAATAACTCAAGGTAGCAAACATATCCAATATTCCTTTCTCCTTCTATTCCCCCTCCCCCCAGGAACAACAACTGTGAGGTGATTTATGCTGAGAGAGGATGACTGACCCAGCTAAGGTGGCATGAACTCACAATCTCCTGGTTTCTATAGCATGATGCTTTAACCATTAGACCAAACTGGCTCTACTACAAGCTAGAGATGAGAGTTAAGTGAAGATATCTTGTGCAGTGCAGTGACTTTGGTACTATATTCATCTTTAATACACTGCTCAAAATAATAAAGGGAACACTTAAACAACACAATGTAACTCCAAGTCAATCATACTTCTGTGAAATCAAACTGTCCACTTAGGTAGCAACACTGATTGACAATCAATTTCACATGCTGTTGTGCAAATGGAATAGACAACAGGTGGAAAGCATAGGCAGTTAGCAAGACATCCCCAATAAAGGAGAGGTTCTGCAGGTGGTGACCACAGACCACTTCTCTGTTCCTATGCTTTCTGGCTGATGGTTTGGTCACTTTTGAATGCTGGCGGTGCTTTCACTCTAGTGGTAGCATGAGACGGAGTTTACAACCCACACAAGTGGTTCAGGTAGTGCAGCTCACCCAGGATGGCACATCAATGAGAGCTTTGGCAAGAAGCTGTGTCTGTCAGCGTAGTGTCCAGAGCATGGAGGCGCTACTAGGAGACAGGCCAGTACATCAGGAGACATGGAGGAGGCCGTAGAAGGGCAACAACCCAGCATCAGGACTGCTACCTCCGCCTTTGTGCAAGGCGGGACAGGAGGAGCACTGCCAGAGCCCTGCAAAATGACCTCCAGCGGGCCACAAATGTGTATGTGGCTGCTCAAATGGTCAGAAACAGACTCCATGAGGGTGGTATGAGGGCCCGACGTCCACAGGTGGGGGTTGTGCTTACAGCCCAACACCGTGCAGGACTTTTGGCATTCGCCAGAGAACACCAAGATTGGCAAATTCGCCACTGGCACCCTGTGCTCTTCACAGATGAAAGCAGGTTCACACTGAGCACACATGACAGACGTGACAAGGTCTGGAGACGCCGTGGAGAACGTTCTGCTGCCTGCAACATCCTCCAGCATGACTGGTTTGGCAGTGGGTCAGTAATGGTGTGGGGTGGCATTTCTTTAGGGGGCTGCACAGCCCTCCGGGTGCTCACCAGAGGTAGCCTGACTGCCATTCGGTACCGAGATGAGATCCTCAGACCACTTGTGAGACCATATGCTGGTGCGGTTGGCCCTGGATTCCTCCTAATGCACGACAATGCTAGACTTCATGTGGCTGGAGTGTGTCAGCAGTTCCTGCAAGATGAAGGTATTGATGCTACGGACTGGCCCACCCGTTCCCCAGACCTGAATCCTATTGAGCACATCTGGGACATCATGTCTTGCTCCATCCACCAATGCCACGTTGCACCACAGACTGTCCAGGAGTTGTGGAATGCTTTAGTCCAAGTGTGGGAGGAGATCCCTCAGGAGACCATCCACCACCTCATCAGGAGCATGCTCAGGCATTGTAGGGAGGTCATACAGGCACGTGGATGCCACACACACTACTGAGCCTCATTTTGACTTGTTTTAAGGACATTACATCAAAGTTGGATCAGCCTGTAGTGCTTTTTTCCACTTTAATTTTGAGTGTAACTCCAAATCCAGACCTCCATGGGTTGCTAAATTTAATTTCCATTGATAATTTTTGTGTGATTTTGTTGTCAGCACATTCAACTATGTAATGAGCAAAGTATTTAATAAAAATATTTCATTCATTCAAATCTAGGATGTCTTATTTTGTGTTCCCTTTATTTTTTTGAGCAGTGTATAATATTTGTTCTATAGTTTAAAACAGACAAAAACATACATGACTCCAGTTTTCTTTCTGCCAAATAAACTGGATAGTTTTACTCCTAGAATTTTTCACTGTATCAGATTTAAAAAGCTTTACACAACAGAATGTTCTGTATACTATAGAATGCCATCTAAGAAATTCTCCAAAACATATTATCTGAAAGAGAATACTCTTACCTACTATTGGGCATGGAAGCGATTTAAAATTACAGCTCATACATTTTCCATTCCTGTAATCCTTATACGATTCACAAGGATATGCAGTTATACCACAATCATGTTGTAAAGATGATATATACAAAAAAACAGATCTCTGATGATCACATTTGAAATAAGATGACCCTAGAAGAATCAAAAAGTAAAATCAAGACTATGCAACTATGTTCTGTTTTTCACAAAATAGAATAGCAACAGCATTTCAAAATTAGCAGTAGTTGCTAGTTAATACTTGAATGGGAGACTGCCCAGAAATTCCTAACTATAGTTTAAACCGGAATTACATTAAATTAAATTACATTCTGGAAAAACCATGTCTATACAGCTACCAAAAAATCCAGGAGAGATCTTCCCTTAAAGCACAAGAGTAGAGGGTGACTCTGCCTTTTACTTCAAAACAGGAAAGCTATCTTCTGCAGTTCAGTCCCCTATTCCTCCTTAAAATATGAAGCATACTCATATTTTAAAATTTAAACCCCAGTATAAGCCTGAACAATCTAGATTGAGGCTTGTTAATATATAGCACTCAGGAGCAAGATTCAGTGAACAGTTTAAAGCATACTAAAAATTATTGAATGGGTAAATCTTATTCTATATAAAATTGTAATAATTTTTTAAAGTACACTAACATAGTTGCCCTCATGAATGAATGAATAACTTTACTACAATTAAACCACTCAACAAATTCCTATAGTAATTAATTTTTTTATATTTACCACTAAGTATTGTCTTTGGACATCCAGGCTGATCTATTCCTCCATTTGGATAGAAATCAATGTTTCCCAAAGACTCCTTAAGACCAAAACCTAACAATGAAATACACCGTGAAAAAAAAAAAAAAAAACCATCTTAACCACAATACACCTGCCCACAAAAAAATTAGAGCTTAATTTCTTGCATATTTATGAAAGCATTAAAAGTACTAAAAAGAAAAATAATAATATTAAAATATCAAAGAGCTAGGAATGTGTATTACCAAAACACTGAAATTTATAAATATCACTAATCTACATCACAGGAATTCTAAATGTTTCATTGAAATTAGTCATAAAATAAGGGACTGATCTCTTCAAGGAGCTACATCAGGAGATGAAATGGAATTTACAAGCATCAAAGTAATAATAATAATAACAAACAACCTTTAAGTGATATCTTAATATTTGCTCTAATATTTGCTCAAATTATGAATTTGCTTTCAAATTCATAATTTTATATCTTAGCTGAAATCTTATATAAAAGGGAATTTTCTTTGTAGAGATATGTGCAAAATGCCAATGCTAAATTGATTTGTTCCTTTGTTGTTAGTATTTCTAAAAGAAATTTAATATCAATATCATCATGAATTTAAACAGTTAATACTTTTGAACTGAGAAACAGGATTTTTAAACAAATATTAAAATGTTGGGATTTTTCCTCTGTTCATAATTAGGATTATTACTAAACCCACTGGTATTAGCTGGGTTAAAGTTTCTAATGAACTTAAACAATTTATACCTGCTGTAAGAAACATATTTTGAATTGTTATTTTAAAGAATAGCTGCTCCAATATGGTACTGTAGTTTAAAAAATAACTTTTTCTGTATCAGGAAAATCTGCAATTGACATGGGACTTGTTTTATCAATGGTTGTCTAATAAAAACAGAAGTTGAAAATATGGAAATGTAAGAAAAGAACTAATGTCATAAGAGAGATATGTTAAAATGGATAAACAGACATTATTATTACTATAGAATATCAATATAATGACTATTACTGTAAATATTTTGATTATTATTTTCTAAAATAACATATACACAGACAACACTCTGTTCAACTGACATTGAAATTTTTATAGGTTATTACATAAATTTTTTTTAAAAAAACATTTTAAAGGAAAGTCTGCAATTCAGACACAAATGAAAAAGTTCTGGCTATGTTTTTTGCCAAATTTTTAAGCACAAGTCTTTCAGCATATCCTAAGTACCTATTAGGATTCCAGTCATAATAATTGCATACATCCTGCCCAAAAGTATGTCTTTTGAGATGGAACTTATTCTCTCATAGATATGTATGTATTCTAGGGGAATCATACAAGGAAGTGGAAGTGGGGTGAGGGAATCATTCAAACACAGAATGTTCAAAATTCAAATATGTAATAATTACCATCAGTATCACTATGAATGACATCCACAAACTGGGCATCAGTATGATCTAGTCTCTCATTAGCCAGCTTTTTGGTAAACAATGGACCTGCTGGGTCAAGACCTGAAGAGTAGACTCAAAGCAGAGCTCATAAGAAAAATATGCAAGCATTGTTTAAATGTAATTACTATAAGTAACACAAAATTAACAACTAAACAGAGTCATTTAGAGAACAAATAAACTTCTCATTAGCAATCCCCTTCCTAACATTCTAAATCTTAAATGTAATGGCAGCAATCTAATTAATGTATATGTATGGAGATATTACTACGGAAACACTAAAGAAAAAGACAAGTTGCAATTCTACGTGGAAAATTTCTACAATGTGCACAACTGATAGAAACATCATGTTAGAAAACATGATATAACATCATTTTATAAAGAGATTAAGTTTGTTCAGTGATCAAGAACTTAGGTCGAAGTTACCTCCATTGGTTTCACGTTACACTACTTTCACCTGAGATGCAGCCTGATTTGAAGAATATTTTCATTTAAACCAATGCACTGATGTCTCTATATCAAACTATAGTAATGTATTAGATACCAGATACTTGGAGGATTTTTTTGGCCATTTCTCTGAACCATTGGTCAAGTTCAGCTTGCGAACTTGTGATATATATCACCATTATGAAAATGCCTAAACTGGCAAGCAGGCATAGCAATGTCTAGAGCAGATCATACATTTCTCAATCTATGCTCCTGTGCTTTTCTTGTTTATAGAAATGTACGGTGACACACTGCTGAGTTGCAGAATCTTTGTTTTTGTTTTTCATTTGTAAAAAAGTGTGAAAATAGATTCCAATTGCAATACTTTATATGACGGAATTGTGCTATAAAATATGCTTCAAATCTGCTAAAACTAACCAGCTTCTAAAATTCAACCTGGCAGGATTATTTGAAGTTTATTCAGCTTGTAAGCCTCACCAGTAATTCTTCCAATTTTGCCATTATATGTCTTCCCAACAAATCCAGCTATATGAGCTCCAAGGCTTACACCAATCATATAAATAGAATCAACAGCAACATCATTCTCCTATGGGGGGAAAGTTATGGGAAGAGGGTTATAGAAGTGTAAACCATAGATATTTGATATAATTAGGAAATTCAAACATAATTTATTCTAGTTTATCACATTGACATCTGCCAATATGTTATACCATATATCCAAAGATTTTCAAGAATAATTAAATAACTTCAGAATAAAAATATCAAATTGCAGCAGTAAGGCCAAGGCTATTGCCTATTTCATCTAAAAATGTGCTGTGTTAGTTTATAAATAAAATTATAACACATCAGTATGACCTCTTTTTTCCCCTTTATATACTACAATGGATATGGGATAAATTTTGTGATAGTGCCACATAGATCACATCCTATCCAGAAGCACTCCAAAATCATCGTCAGCTCACAGAGAACAACTAATATGTTTGTAAGTGGCATAAGGATGCTGCATATTTCACTTTACGTAGTTAAACACAAATGAATTGTTGTGTGGAAAAAGAAAATTAAATGCTACTGTTGTAATCTAATTCCATGATTAATGATTGTGTATGTACAATAAGTTATTTTGTATTGTACAGTGGAAAAAATGTTTTCAGAAAAGTAGAGCTTGATTTCTAATGCAGTGAAATGAAACAGTATACACAAAGAAATTTGTATCTATGTATTTCAGTAAAGTAATTCTGATACGACAATGTGGAGTTAGCCTTGTATGGCATTGCCAACAAGGCTGCCATCTGAAATTAAATTATTCCTAGGAACAACTACAGTATGGTAGTAAGTGCTATATATATACAGACATATCATTTATAATTTTTTTTCATGGCTGGAGTTTTCCAGTTTCCCAGCCATAAAAGGAGCTAAAGCTAGGACTTTTTAACACCCAATTCCACTTAGCCGTGCTCTGTCTATTCACATTATTTTGCTATCATAGTAAATTCTATGATAGTCATTTCAGAACTTCACAAACATAAAGCAGCCACAATAATGTTTGCAGTTTGAGTGAATAAGCTATTGAGACAAATTTTTATTTTATGTGTTTTATTTTAAAAGACATTTTATTTACAAATAAGTGAAAATAATGAATGTCCACATTACTCTTGCAATGATCACATCACACCTCTACAGTTTGGACAACCGTTTAGAAATAGCATGTAACAGAACAGATTTATTTATTTATACCCCACTTTTAATATTTTTACAAATAACCCAAGTTGGTGCACATATCCAACACACCTTTCTCCTCCTATTGTCCCCACAACAATGCCCTTGTGAGGTGAATTGGACTGATTGGCCTAAGATCACCCAGCTGGCTTTCATGGCTAATGTGGGACTAGAACTCACAATCTTCTGGGTTCTAGTCTAGTACTTTAACCACTAGACCAAATATACTTTATACTGTAGTTGTATAAGCATTGCTCATAATAATCTGAATATATGCTCATGCATTTCCCAAAAGAATATAAAAGCATTGTATATAAAGTAGATAATGATCCCCTATTATAGCCCAGAGCTCTCTATTTTTACAAGAAACAACAATGTATAATCAACTTGATACAGTTGAGCCTCTTACCAACATTTGATCAATAAGATGTGTTAAGATGGGTACCACTTTCTTCGCACTAGAAACAGCACTAAAATAATTCACTGTTGTTGCACCCCGATTCCAATCTACTATAATGATGTTGAAGTCTTGTTTTTCAAGCAGAAGATTTTTAATTGTATCAATCCATATTGGGGGTGAACCTGTAAATCTGTACCCATGGATGATAACAACGATATTCTTGGTTACATTAAAATGTGTAGAAGTTGTTATATTATGCTCATCAAGAAGTTCAGCACAGTCTTTATTTTTTCGTGTGTACAAAAGCAGTTGCACCTTCAGATCTGTGCCAATCACAGCATTGCCAAAATTAAGATCTGTGAATTTAGGACATTCTTGACCTAAATTTGTAAAATATAAATAAAAGAAACATTTGATCAATATGATTTTTAAAGAGCACATTGCACTGCATTTTTCTGCAATATATCTATGGAATGTCAAGAATATTTTATTTAACTTCCCAAACACAATACATTCAGATCAGAATTCCTGGTTTATAAAATACCAAGTCTAAGAAGTATAAATTTTATGCTGAAAAGAGATACATCTGACATAATTGGACTGATTTCATCCAGTTATTGTTTATCCTTTTTAAAAAATTAATATAAATTTCAAAAACTTATAAAATACTACAGAATAACATCATTATTAACAAAAAAATGCTACAAATTAGGGCCCTTAAAAATTGTTTAACATGCTTTAAGGAGTAGATCCAGGATTTTGAAAATATTGTAATTTATTCTGCTTGTTGTGGGTGAAAACAATTCTGATTTGTTGATTCCAGAATATGATTTGAAAGAATTGAGTTCAGCCACCTCATTACCTAGGATAGGAAACACATACAAAAATAAGCAGTATAACTCTTAAAAAAATAACATGTTCAACAGAAATGCTCCAATCTTTGGCATGAGGACTGAATAAGCTGCCAAGAAGCATTTGATGTTAAGAAATTGTCAAGTAACCTTATCTTCTAACCTATAGCATTTAACTGAATACCATATTTATTTGAATGTTTGTGTTTTTTATTTTTCTAAAGAAGGAAACTTTGTGAAATTGCTACTGATGACATGCAGAGTCTTGCATCTTCACCATTAATAGTAAATATTGTTTTGGAATGTTGTATTTTTGGTAGTACAATAATAGCTCTTATAGTCTGCAGTCTACCTAATTTTCCACACTTATCCCATGAGAAAAAAACAATAAAGCTCCTTCCATAGGGCTTTTTCAAATCAGAAATCATGGACAGTTGCAGAATGACACAAGGTGTGTAAGTACAACAGTTTTTCCCAATGTTACAACAATACAATAACTTCACAAGCACCACTGAACAAGTTCCAACACAACCAAGACTATCACAAGTGGAGTAACTCTTTCTTGTTACCTAAAACATCTTTTTCAGGTGACTATGCAAACTTGAAAAATGATGTAGCTGCTTTAACAGCTGGTTTAACTTCTCTTGTGGAAACCATGGTTGTCTTAATTAAGGCAATAGAAAGGTGATGTGCTCTCTTGAGATTTGAAGCACATCTGAATCTTAGGCAGAACTTTACTAAACACTGGTTATATTTTACAAAATATTTCAAAAGCTTTTTTCTTTTTTCTTCTATGGCTATAATTAGGTTTACACTTATTGCCTGTTATTGAGGACATACAAATATGAGTTAACTAAAACATGGGAATAGATTAAAAACTAGTTTCCAGATTTTTTCATAGTTCATTCAACAACCACAAAAAATATAGTTTGTCAAAGCAGATATGTTTTGCCAGCTACAACTTTGTCAATTTGTTGGCATTCTTTAAGCAGTTTCCCATTTCTCAACTAATGTAAAAGTACTAAGCAAGTTTTTTGAAAAATGTGGTAAGATGTATGCCTAACGTGTTTAGCCTGCAGGGCCTAATTACTAGAATTACTCTTATTTAATACTATAGGTTTAAGAAAAAAGAGCTTTTGCTATTGTCTGATACTCAGAACTCTCAGGATCAACAATTCATTGACAATCTGCTAGCCCTTTAACAGGCAAACATCTTCCATCATTTTCAACTCTAGTCCCAGATCATCTCGTGAAGCATACTATAATACAGCTTTTCTTTAGCACTCTTCTACTCAGGATGCCTTTGAACATTTGGTGAGCTTTGACCCATTATCACCAGTATTTTTAAAATTTTAGTTAGCATAATTGCTCAGACAATTTAACCAGCCAATCTTCTCTATATACTACTACAACTTTTGTTCCTGTAACCTTCAACTGGATAAAACAGTGCATCATAGGGCAATAATTTTGAATCAAGGTACTTCAAATGGGTACCTCAAATTTTATAAAACATTTAATGATTTAAAAATTATCATAAAACAATAATGCAACATAATACAAAATGATATAAAACATTTCCCGTGCTTAATGTTCAACATGGCTTATTTTTATTCTTCCCAACACCTGCTCCAAAATTCACATAGCTTCAGAGATCCATGTGCAGTTAACATCAAAGCATGGCTGACCACTGGTTTGTTACACTGCTATTTAGACAAGTTAACTCTGTAACACAGTACCATTGTGGAAACCTAACTTTTATATACTTAAACTGTGCTAGTGTTTATAGGAGGAGTAGGTGTTTAAAGTCAAAGGTCATTTTTACTTTTACTTCAGCCTTTCCCCTTGTCATTTCTGTTCAAATAATACCTTGAGGCTAAATGAATACAAGACAACCTGACAGTTAAAGGCTAGATTTGGACATAAATTATTCTCCTAGCTTAACCTATGCTATTATGCTAATATAAATCAATATCAATATAAAATTTCACAATACTTTTCAGTTAATTCTGTGAATCAAGCCTGACTCTACCCTGAATAGGGATTACAGGTTCTTAAAAGGGGAGATTTTATTTTATTTCTAATGTATTATAATTGTAAGGTTTTTTGAGTGCAGCTCAGAATCTAATAAAACCAATGAAACTCTTGAACATGAGGCTACTGATAATCAGCTTTATTTTCTGATCAGAAAGCAAAAACTGGGCAGCCTTTCAGTCTCTCACCTTAAACAGCAAGGCAGAGAGAAAAGCAGGGGTGCACAAAAACTTTTTCTTTAACTTTTATAGATTATATAGCTAGCAAAGACCGTCATTGCTATGGAAACATTATTTCATATCAAGCAAAGCTCATGAAATTTTCTCAGCGCTTCTACAAACAAAGGAATCTTACTTAGATGGATTGGAAAGAAATACATTTTAGCTCAAAGATTCGTTTCTCACATTTTAAGTTACTGGGAAGAACACATTCTAAGTTAGTTACAGCAAGCAGATCTCAAGTAGTTACTTTGCTAGGCTAAGGTTGGCAGTTCGCCTAGAAGTTTTTATCTCTGCAGTTGGCTCATCTCCCAGCTCAGCACAAGTTTCAATGGAATTCAGCAAGGAAATCAAAGATTGGGTTAGACACACACTGTATATGCACTCTGTTTATGCCCCAATCCCTTCATAATAATGCATACCTACCCTAAAAACAAGTGCCAATATATTCAGTGTAATCTAGTTTTGACTAAATTCCTAAGTCTTTTAAATCATATAAACAAATGAACATGTTACACCTTCTCTAATAGTATCTTCAGTCACATGTAACATAGTTTAATGAATAAACCGTGTTTAGATTCAGAAAAATAAGCAGTAAATTATGGGTTAACAAATCAAAAGGATAGTTAAGTTCACATAACTGTCCTTACCTTGTGGTAGGATGTCAGTTCAAATTAATGAATAGTGACAGCAGTACTCACAAGTATATAACACAATGTTCAACATGTTAAGTCCAAACCGATGATATGGTTTAGTACATTGTGAATCTAGTGAATAACTTTTCAAGCTTACAGTATGTCCCTTTAACTCAAGATATTAGAAAATGTAACACCTTCTCCATACTTCTGATCTAATGCTTTAAAACCTATTGCATTAAACTAAAATAATGAATTCATGCAACCACATAGAATTAATCTAACCACAAATCTTTATATAGAAATTCACATGTATTGAATTGTTTTACATTAAATATCTTTTAACTCTATTCAGAAATGTTTTTAATTCAAGTTTCATACTAGTATTTAAGATGATTATTCCTTTTTAAAATATGAGTATCTTATGTTTGATAAAATGTTCAGAGATAATATTCTGATGGCTTTCTTACCTGCTCTTGCAGAGTGTGTCACAAAACAAATGAAAAAACACAACCTCAACATTGGAAGTATTCGGAAAGCAGCATGTAACAGAAGGATGGTACTGCTATTTCCTTGAAACATGTTGATTTTTGTTTAAATTAAACGTCACCATAGGCGTGGTACATTGAAGGAAGTACTTGGCAGATTAAAGTCCAGTTTTTACAACCTAGTTCCACCTCCCAATTTAAATAGGTGAGGCAGTTTCTTTTCCTGAGGAGTTGTATATCTTTTAAATCACTAAAAGTTCTTTCCTCCAGATTCTCAAAACCAGATTTTATACAGCCTTTTTACAGTACTTGATCTGCTATGAACAGACAATATTTTGTGGCATATAAAGAGTATAGGAAGATACAATAATTTCCATTTACAAAAATAATTGATTTCATTTATTTGGATGTTTTTTGAACATCTACACATTTTAAAACTCAAAAAATAAAAGATAATATAGATATTTGTAACATTAGCAATTTGGCAATATAGCTTTTTTTCCTTGAATAATACAATGGTTCTGTATTTTCAAAAAAGCTTGTGGTTTTCTCTTTTAATATTATTTAAGTCTGACAATGAATAATATAAGCTTACTAAAGAATTTAAGTATTCCAATTAACATAAGTATTAAACCAAAAATGATGGAACAGATAATTATGTAGCTTTCCCCCTTACAACTCACAGTAATTATAGTAAGTCTTGGTGCTTTATTTTTTTAATCTTCTTGTTTTGATATGAGTATCATCGTTTTATTTTGTATTATCTTCATGCTATTTCATTTAAATATATTGAGTTTATTAAATGTATTTATTTTTATATTGTCTCACTAATCTATTTGTGATGATTCTTGACCATATATTTGTCAGTTATGATGACTGGAAGACATTCTTTTGGAAAATCCCTAGAACTTGTCAAAAGAAAGTAGCAATGTACTTCCAGAAAAGAATAGAGAAAAATCAAAAGATATGTTTCTAAATTTAAATGTGTGATTTTCAGAATAATTATACTTGGAAGGCCAGCTACAGTATGCTTAATAGCTTATAGAAAACTAGTCAAAAGAAAATTGCTTAATACACAGAGCATAAAGGATTCAGAAAATATGTTAGCAAATTAGACTGTATCATCAATGTACATCATCAAAGAGGCAATGCTATCCTGTCAGAAGAGAAGCATTTATCAGCAAAACCAGGCAGTGGAGTGTTACTTTTTCTGGACTATAAGGAATGGGGAAAGACAGATGTTGGTATCAATCTTCCTCTTGGGAGAAAACAGCAATATAGACACTAACTTAAGAGGAAACAGTTTGTTAATTTAAGTTATAGCAGTTGCTAATACATGTAATGTTTTTGTTGATATGACAGGAGGGAGGAGTGCAGTTTTGCTCATTCCAGAAAAGTTGCATGGCTAGGCCTGGCTGAGATCAGTGTGTCAAAAGTCATCCTTTCTGCTGTAAAACGACGAGTCATCTGTTATGAGATCAGTCTGATTAGTGTCAAACATTCGGTAACAGGCTATTTAAACAAGGAAACACTGTTATACAGTAGATGAACATAAGTATTTAATCATACAAATACATTACATACATTGAATATGTGCTATCGTATATCATTTTTCCAGACATTACCCTGATATGGCAGGAAACAGAGGTTTCCTTGCTAGAGAATTGTTATGTCAATGTGGATCAGATGTCTTCCAAGGCAGGGGCCCCCAACCTGTAGCTGTGAGAGGTTTGCAGCTAGACCATGGAGATGGCCAGCTAGAGTGTGCATACATGCATCCTCACTTGTGTGAGCAGCAGGCGAGCGCGTGCAAGTATGTTCCATTTGCGTGAGCCACTCATGCAGAGCCATCTCCACTCCCTCCCCGCTGATCTGCAAAGCCAGAAACGTTGGGGAACTCGGTTCTAAGGCTATAAAGACAACTGACAAGTATCTATTGATTTCAGAAAATACCTTTAGTAAAGGACAAAGTATTTATAGATGTCTGTGATCTTTTTTTTCCTCCTTTTTAATGTGTCTGTTTACAGATCTGATTGTAGCTCTTCTTTGTAATATATTTGTGTGTGTGGGTGTGTGTGTGTGTGTGTAAGAGAGTGTGTGTGTAATTATCTGGGGTGAAGACTTTTTTTGTTCTTTTATTACTTTCAAATGAAGAGTACATTTTGGCAAAACATTATCATATCTTATCCTATAGTAGCAAATGAAAAAGAAAGACTAGACAGATTAATCCTTGGAAATGTTTAAATCAGCTTAAGCATTCGCTTTCAACTAACACATTCTAACAAATAATAAAATTTTATGTTAAGTAGTAACAAAAGAAAGCAAATTTTGTCTCAACCAAGACTGAAGAAAGTTTAGGTAATTTATCTGTATCTGAGTATCTTTGGGATGATTTTCTGTCAAGCTACTGACTTTTCTTGACAAACACAGTATTTTTAATCTTAAAAAAACATTTGGCACTAATGAAAGGCTTGATAAGCTTCACCAGGCTCCAAATTGTTCCTTTGTTAAAAAGCAAGGTGACTGGGACATTAGCTAAGAAGGGTTCTAAATCTAAGGCAGCTGTAGAAACTGTAACCCAACAACCAATTAATATAGAGTATTCCTTCAACCACCCAGTTGCTGGACTCTCCTTTCAACTATGGTTTGCAAACCTCTCAAATAATGCTTACTCTGAGAAATCAAATAAAATAATACAAATGGCCTTCTTATAAACTAAACCATCTTCTATTAAACCAGCTGTTTGATATTCAAATGTTGCTGATGTGAAGATGACACATTGGCTTCCTTGAATGTCTGAAGATGACTCATTGGCTTCCTTGAATTTAGTGGCTCTAGAATTTTAATTTTTCATCCATTCCATTATTCAAAATTAATAAATTTCAGACTTTTAAATTTTAGCCAAAGTGTTTGTTTTAGGATCTAGTTATTAGAATACTGCTAACAGAAAGGACAACAGTAAGATCAGGTTAATTAATCGCAAGGTAAGCAAAACTCTTATTACAAAGCATTATATAAAATCACATTGGAAAGAAAGTTTCTAACTCTCTGATATTTTTATTGCTTGAACCACAGTGCAAGTTTTAATAAAAATAAAATCTGAAAGCCAGCTCCTGAAGGATCAAACTAAATTTTTTCACAGCTTAATTTTGATAGTTACATACTGAAATAATTTCCTTTACAATTGTACCAATGACCAGCTCAAAAGTCGGAAGTACTGAAATACAGCTAGCCCTCTACTTACAATCACAATTCAGCCCAAACTTTCTGTTGCTAAGTTAAACATTTCTTAAGTGAATTTGACCAACTGTACAACTTTTCTTGCAACAATTGTTAAGAGAATCACTGTAGTTGTTAAACTATGGTTAAGTGAATCTGGCTTCCCCATTGACTCTGCTTGTCAGTAGGTTGTAAAAGGGGATCATATGACCCCAGGACACTGCAACCAACAAGCATTTGACTATGGGGGTTGTTACAATGGTCATAAGTATGAAAATGGGTCATAAGTCATTTTTTTCAGTGTCATTGTAACTTTGAACAGTCCCTAAATGATCTGCTGTAAGCCGAAGACTATCTATACAATATCAAAAATAAGAGTTGTTTTCCATATGGCTTTTCAGATAACTTCATCAATTCTTTGCCGTTCTTAGACACAGTGGCGGGATTCAAAATTTTTAATACCGGTTCTGTGGGCATGGCTTGATGGGGGTGGCAGGGGAAGGATACTGCAAAATCCCATTCCCTCCCCACCCCACTAACTTGCTTTCCAGCTCCATTCTCCTGTGCAGGGCAACAAAAGAAGACCCAGTCTATCAGCTGGGACTCAGGAGGCAGAGAATAGATGGGGGCGAGGCCAATCAGAGGTGGTATTTGCTGGTTCTCCAAACTACTCAAAATTTCTGCTACCGGTTCTCCAGAACTGGTCAGAACCTGCTGAATACCACCTCTGACACAGACACTATCTTTTATCATTTGGAATTAAAAGCAATATAATAAAAGGAAATATAGTAAATCTATGTTCAGTAAATCTTTCCACACCATTCAAATGTTAAAAACCATCCTTCCACCAGGATCATACATCAATTTATACATTGCCTTTTATTCTTTAACTTCTTACCTTTCTGTTTGAGAACCTCAGCAGCTCCATTCAGTCACAATTTTCTGAATCTACACCTTCAGGTCAATCTTTCCATTATTCAGTCTTCTTTGTTCTGCAATCCAATCATTCATTCTCTCTACATTATCCAACACCCCCTCCTCAACATACTTGGATTTGGGATTGTTTTTCAATGTATCCCTTCAATCCTAATACATTTTAACTTATTTTTGTTTAGCATACACAATTCTTAAATATCACACTTCTACCAATTTGTTTAGTTTTCTTTTTCTCCTGACATAACCAACTCCAGCTCTGGCATGACAAGGTGGTCTAAGATGATGCTATCATTTTTTTATTCTTGTCTCTTTTCTGCCAAGAGCACTCCCGGTGATACCTTAATACCGTGTGCAGTTCTAAGCACCATATTTCCAAAAGGCCGATTGGTTAGAACAAATTCAGAGAAAGTAATAAAGAGGAAATGGCAAAGATCGGAGGCCATGCCATATGAATTCAGATTGAAGTCTTGGGATGTTCAATCTGGAGAGAAAGAAGAATAAAAGGAAGCACAACATTAAACTGCCACAGAAGGAGAATAAAGAATAACAGAGTTGGAAGGGACCTTATATGTCACCTAGTCCAACCTCCTGCTGAAGTAGGAGATCCTATACCATTTCTGACAAGTGGCTGTCCAGTCTCTTCTTAAAAGCCTCCAGTGATGAAGCACCCACAACTTCTGAAGGCAAGCTGCTATATTGGTTGATTGTTCTCACTGTCAGAAAATGTCTCCTTCTTTCTAGGTTGAATCTCTCTTTGATCAGTTTCCATCCATTGTTCCTTGTCTGGACTTCTGGTGCTTTGTAAAATAGGTGACAGCCCCTCAAATAATGGAGAAACGTGGAGCTTAAAACAGGGAAGACCAACCTTTTATTTTGAGAATGATCAAGTTCCAAATTGCAGAGAAAGTACAATATTACAATAAAATAAATTAACAGATAAAGAT